TCTTGTCCTTCTTTTCCTTCTTCTCTGCCTTGTCCTTCTTCTTCTTGCCGAAGATGGCCTTCAGCTTGCCTTTCAGGTTGTCAAGCGCGTTCAGAGCTGCAATTAAGTAAGCGCGTTAGCGTGCAGCCCCTACGAGGAATAATAGATGAAATAGTGGCAATAAGGTAGATTGTCCCATGTCTGCCGAGGCCATCACGAAGCTGAGGGGTAGGACACAGCTAGACGGTCAAGACGACGACTGTAACCACAGTTGCAAGGCTGGCAGCTGGTTTAAGAGAAATGGGTTGGTACACCAGGGGGGATGTAGGAAGAGTTACACGTACGGACAGGCATGGTGGCGATATTGAGAATCGAGCTTGGGAAAGCTTCGTGACTGGGAAGAAATGCTAAAGGGAGTGGAAGAAGTGATGTTCAAGAAAGGAAGCGGCGACAAGAACAAGTGTTTTGTCAAGAGTTTTGTCGAGAGGGGAGCTTGGTGTTCAATGCTGGAGGGAGATGAAAATTGGGGAAATGATATCTCCAGGAAAGCAACATTAGCGCCCGTCCACTGCAAGACGCTCGGGCCCATCAACCAGGGTTCAATTTCCAACAGCTTTCATCAATTTATTTTGAGAATATTGGCCCTTCTTGGGGCTTCTTTCCCGGCCTAGCCCCCCTATCGCTTTTACAAGTCCCCAGAAAAGGGGTCTTCCACCAGCCTTGAACTCTTGGCAGAAGAACATCGCAGAACATTGTTCATATCTTTTTTTTTCCAGCTACCAAGCACAACGATAGATGTAGGTACTAGAGAGGTAGGTATCTGCATCTGCTTATCGACGGTGCTTTATCCTCGGCATCTAATGCAACTTCGTACTTATTCGTCAACCTGCGCAGTACTCACTCATACATAACGAGGTCATGGGGCTGCATACGAACTGCGCGGTTTCTCATAAACGAGTTACCCTAGCGACCTTGGCGAAACTGCGAAGGCCGATCTAACGTATGCGGTGTAATGCGAGATAAGCCGGTTTGAGAGTTCAAACGTCAACGGCCGGTGGCTAGACGCCTTGCTATTAGTTGATACATGACTTCTCTTACTTAGCGACCCCCAAGTTTCCTAAACCCATGATGGCAGGCAGGCATGGTGGTAAGAGAGTCGTACATAGATCAGCTAACACATTCAGGTGGCTGAACTGTCCCAGCCCGACAAACTGAGGTACCCCGGGATTGGCTAATACGTGCGCTAAAAATCGACTGGAGTGCTCTGACTGGTGGGCTTTCTCCATCGTGTGTTGTCGGGTCAATTTATTAGTCAAAATTTCCGCATTGTACACAGACGGCGGGTGACGGTAATAAGGGCCAATCAATGTAAGAGACGGGAGCATAATCAGTTTGCACTCAGCATTTATGTAAACCAACATTATAGGGCATACCTTAGGTAGTGAAAGTGGTTTTCTATTTTGTTTTCATGACAAGTTCGTTTAGTTCAGTTCAATAAGCACTAGATATACATATTCTCATGTACAACCCTGTAGACTACATTCAAGCTAAGGTTTTTTTATAACCTCGATACACATCTCCTCCCCATAGCGAGATCGGGCTATGAACTTGAAGAGTCATAGGACAAGACTACCTAGTCCCGGGCGACAGGCGTCCGGAAGCCACGATGCAGAAGAGAAGAAGATGTGAATAAAGTTTTTCCCACTTCTCTTGACAGGAGCGCTTCGGTTTCTATAAATTTGATTATCTGAGCTGCAATTTCCGTCGTCTGTTCTCTATTCACTTAGGGCGATAAAACCGACAGCACAAAGCCGGTCCCGCTAGTTACTGCATACATCTTCGAAACCCCTTGACGGCCATGAAAGATTCAAAGTTTGGTATTTGATGATATCACTCGGGGACCTCGTCCTATTAATAACAAACATCGGAATTGCCGTCTGTCCCTGAAGAATCCTTTTCTTCGCTGGCCCTCTGCACTAACCCAATTGCCTTCACTCCCGAAAGCACCTTAGTTCATTAATTCGGTACAACCCACTCTCATCATCGGTCATCAATATGGCCCCAACCATTCACCTCGTCCGCCACGCTCAGGGGTATCACAATCTCTCCCAGGAAAACCAGCAGCTTCCGGATCCAAACTTAACTCCGGAGGGCGAGAAGCAATGTGACGGACTCTGCAAGCGGTTTCCTTCTCACGACCAGATCACCCACCTGGTGGCATCCCCTTTACGGCGCACATTGTTCACCTGCTTGCGTTCGTTCGCCCCGGCCGTCCAGGCTGGCAAGAAGATCGTTGCGCTTCCTGACGCACAAGAGATCTCTGTATTGCCCTGCGATATCGGCACGGATCTAGAGAAGCTGAAGGCAGAGTTCGGGGACCGTGTGGATCTCCACCTCGTCCAGGACGGATGGAATGACAAGACCATTGGCAGCCAGTACTACCCGAGCCTGGACAACCTCGAGGCCAGAGCGCGGAGAGCCAGAGTGTGGCTGAGAGAATTGGTCCAGGAGGCCGACGAAGATGCACAGGTGGTTCTAGTCACCCACGGTGGCATCTTGCACTTCCTAACGGAGGATTGGGATGGCATCAAACTAGAACGCGGTCGGTGACCCTCGTTCTTACCTCTAGCCATCACCATGCAATGGTTTAGCGAGACCATGTTGCTTATTCTAGTCGTGAAAGCCTTCTATTTTAACCTAACTATTGACATTCTCTTTTAACAGGAACAGGCTGGGCCAACGTCGAGCTTCGGTCCTATGAATTCGAGGACAAGTCGGGGCAAGACCCCAACGCAACGCTGAAGGAGACAGAATCGAGTCGCCGCGAGAGACAAGGGCGGGAAATTCCCCCTACGCAAAGCGAGACGGCAGAAATACGAGAGGCTTTCAAGGCGGCCATAGCTAAGGAGGAAACAGAAAGGCGCGCTGGGAAAACTGCGTAGTATGGTGTCAATGGTGCGTTAGGGGTATAGGAGCAAGACGATACCCCGACGTAAATCATTCGCATGCACTTATTGTACGGTAGGTAGGCGAAAGGAGGGAGAGTGGGGTTTAAGTCTATCTTTGGTCGGGTTAAGTACACATACAATTATTAGACTCTAGCAACCTAGAAAAAAAGGACTAGATAGATGGAGGGCGAAGAAAAATAAAATAGAACGGGCCTACCCAGAGAATAGAAATAGGGTTGTCTGATATAGAATAACATCAACGGTCTCCCTAGTAGTTAAGGCTCTAGTCTATACCGCTTCATGTTAGGCTAAAGAGATATATTGACCTCAGTACGCGGTTTAGAGGTAAACACCTGAGCTTTCTTTTTAATTTGATCCTGCGACTTTCACCCGTTAGCAGACCAAATGATCTACCAGGGCATCCTGATGAGAACCCATCGAGGTTGATTTTTCATCTCGTCTATACAAGCAAGCTATGTATCAACATATGCCGTCCTAATAGATGAATGGCTCGCTATCTTATCACCAGTTTATATATGCACTTGACCTACGCCTTTAAACGAGTCCGCATCGCTACAGGACTTGGTCGCTGAGGGTATCAGTGTGTGTCGTCACCCTACGACGACCATCATACCCACACCAAGTTCACGGTCTTCTCCCCAGGTTATATAATATCTTCAGCCATAAGAAGTGCTCTGAAGAATTTACAGTCTTTTTTGAAAGTAATGTAGAGGGCACCAGAATTTTGGCTTGACTACCTCAATGTAGAAGCTCGAGAATTATTAATAAATAAGCCAAGTCATTGAACATATAATACAGATAGCAAGTATTTTCTTTTCTTTTCTTATAAATAGCATCTATGTCAGTGAATCGAAGTACCTGGGTACCTTAGGTAGCTCTAGACAGAAAAATGTGAACTGAATGCTATCTCGTTGTCATGGCCAACGGTCACCTGCCACCAACATGAAAAGGGAGTACCGTCCAAACAAGACAAACGCGCACACAATACGCGCACACCATTTTTCACTTGGTACCGTTCCTCTGAAAGCTGCTACCCACTTCTCGCCGCCTCCACCATTATTTCCACTCCTACACTCTTGTCGTCGGCGTCATTTAATTGTGTACTTCTATTGATTATGCCTCTTAATATTCAGAAACCGACGGCGAAACAGTATGGCACATAGTAGAGTATAGGTATCAGTACAGTCTCATCCCGCGCGAGCCAGCAGGTATTGGTTACCTGTGTATGCACATACTAATTGTCAACACTTCTAATAGGAAACCAATAGAGAAATCTACACAGAAAACCGAAGTAGCTGACGAAGATTCCATTTCTGGACAGTTGACCCTTTTATATATTGACATTGACCAACTAGTCGATACTCCCATACCCCCTTACCCCCTTTAACGATATCGAATTCTGTGTAAGCATGCAGGGTCAAGCTGTGTGTCAAGCTGTGTAATGTTACCTAACTTTTCTCCGGTGTTCCATACTAATGAAAACGGAACAGGCATTGCCAATCATCCAGCCAGTAAGTGCCTACCCAAAGGACAGACGGAAACCAACCATTTAGTTCTATTACCAGCATCCTATCGTAGGGAGGCAAACCGAACTATAATACGTATGCTATATGTTATATCGAGAAACCCGACTTTTCGATATTGAACGCCCTCCACAACCCCCCTCCCCCAGATCAAGAACATGACACAGCATGCCACACGGCATGACATCCAAGAGTGGACAAGACCAAACTTGGAACATCATTCCCCTGAAACACCACGGCCAAACAAGTACATCATGTGGCTAGCAAAGAGAGACCATAGCAAACAGACAACAAAACATTGCGAAACCCAAACGTTCGATAGATGACCTCTCAATACCTATGTACCTCTTAACGACCAACATCAGCGAAGAAAGAGTAGGTAGGTACCTGGTATCCAAGTGGTGCTGCAGAATCCGGCAAAGTGGGGCATCAACTCCCGCTGAGGATATATGATGTGATAAGTCACCATATTTTCACCCCAGTCGGAGATTTCTGTTCAGTTTCTCCGATCAATAAACCACAAAATTCAGGCTTCGTGGTCTAGTGGTATGATTCTCGCTTTGGGTTGCTACACCAGAATGCGAGAGGCCCCGGGTTCGAATCCCGGCGAAGCCCCTTTTTTTGGTGATTATTTTCTTTTTACCGAAACCGATTACTTACATTGACCATAATTCCCCCCCTCCCTATCAGGTAGCGATATGAGAGCACCCCTTTTTAAAAGGAGTTTCGCGAATATATATATATATATATATTATCTTCAATGTACATCGGTTCATCGTATTAACCCAATCGCCTAGACTGAATGAGCTAGCTAGTTGAGGGTCTTGAGTGGAAATATTGATCACCCGTGGCTAGTTTCTAAGTTGGTTAGCAGACTACGTAGTACTCATATATTACAGGTTATTCCTTTTTTTTTCATAATCCTTCTACTTCTATATTGTCTAGCTCCAGGTTAGCTTGTCAATGCTTTCTTCTAGCCATGTAGCAGCTAATTCATCCCCTTCACCGCTTAACTCTCCCATCTCGGGGTTAATGCCGACACGGTGCACCTGTGATAACTGCTCTCTCAATCGCATGGCTTCTTCTTCCCTTTCTTTCTCTTCTCTCTGTTTTTCTGGTTCTTCCCAATCTTCCCAGTCTTCCGGCCCTCCCGAATCTTCGAATTTGATCTGATCACGTATCGCCGCTGAGAATCTTTCGGCTTGGTCTTTAAAGTTCCTTCCCGGACTTGGCCTCCGGTGTCTCTTCACGCGCAATTTTTGAGTATTGGGTGTCTTTGTATATAGCAGTAGCATTTCCGGTGTCCCTCGTAGTTCATCGGGGGGCGGGTAAACCAATTTGCTCGACTTAGAATTATTCAGCATGGCTCCTATGGATATGAGAGTTTCGTCTTTGAGGTCGGGATATGTTTTTCTAAGGCTGGGTATCGAGGTAGCTGATACATTGAAGGATGGAGGGGCAAGTAGACCTGGAGTGTAAAAGAATAGACAAGGACTAGCGAATGGGTCAAAAAGGTGTTGAGGGTCCCCAAATAGTTGTTCAATATTTTGCTCTATGGTGTGGAAGTCGGCATCCCATGACGGTGTCATTGGTCGAAATTTGACCACTGATCGATATCCATGCTCAGTCTTGATTCTCCTTTTTATTTTATGGATCGGGTGGTCAGGACAGCACCTCGTCCATTCATATATGCCATTGTAGGCGATGCACCCTCGGATGGTCATAGGCCGGTGAAGGTAAGACTCAGTGAGGGCTAGCGAGCTCGCCAACGACGCACCGAGATATGAACCGTACACGTAAATAGCTTTGCGTGCATGATCAGGGGGTCGGAAGTTCTCAAGGATCCAGGTATATGCATTAAGGACATCGTGGATGGGAGTTGGCCAACCCAGGTACTTCTTCCTATGCTTTCCATCCTTGCCAGGGGAGCCGAAGGAAGAGGTATTGGGAACGCGGAAAGGAGAGAAGCCGGACCAGCGATAGTTTATGACAGCGGTTGGATATCTCAGACAGAAGGAAGGTGGGTGGAAAGCGTCACGTGGGGAGGTGACGGAATATGGTGGCAGGTAGAGCAGCAATGCGTCTGATGAGGGTAAATTGGCGATGTTGTACAGACTGAACTGGATTAGTGAGAGGCGCATTCGAAGCCTGGCTAATTGTTGACTTACTCGATATTGATGCTGCCCGACGAGCCGCTTCGGATTTTAACTCGTTCTACCTCACGGGTGGCGGTACTTAGAAACCTCGCTCTTGGTTGACGAGAGCGGGCGGATATTGAGAGACTAAGTGGCATCCATCTTCTCATCTTCCACTTCTTGACCTCAGTCTTTAAAAGTTATCTGTTAGGTCACTGGATCCAGGTCGCTTAGAGGCGCGCGATCACGGGACTGGATGGAGAAGGTAAAAGTTGACTGCGGGAAAAAAGAATTAAGAAAAAAAAAGCTTAGGTCATACTTGCATGCATTGCAGGTGGAGGTGGGTGGAGGGCGCTAATGCGCGCTATCGCATGGTGCATTAGTAGGTACTAGGTAAGATCCTACTAAGCAATCAGGTGCGTTCTAGAGCTACTGTAACTGCTTTATCCGCCCCCGGATTTCAACGCCAAGCGACGTCATTCCTCACCCACCTAAGGTATGCTGCAGCATCTAAGATGTAGCGCCTGACTTCCCTTGACCCAGTACTTTGTCCCAGACATGTCTGTCTCTGTTATACAAGCTGTTGCTGCCCATCTGATATACTCATCGTCGTATTTACCTGCCTACCTCTTACTTACCTTCCAATGATAATAGGTATATCATTCTTGGGTACTTGTTCTTCAGATCCACTACGTCAGGTTGAACCCTTCCCACAGAAAGGGATCACCATGGATATAATCTAGACTGTCCATCTCATTGGAGTCTCCTTCGATTTGTTACTTGTTTTTGAACTTTTGGTCCGAAATAAAACCCGGCATCATCGACCTTTGCTGACTACCTAGGTTTTTCCCTCATGCTATTTTGGTTGTGTCTAGGTTGGGCTCTTTCATCGATCCAAGTTGCACCTTGGTCAAGATGAATGACGCAGACCTCAACAACGACGTGGGCAAGCAGTCCCAGGCCCTTGATGGCCTTCATGGAGGTAAGACTGGCCAGAGCTCAGCCATGGCTGGTCAAGTTCACCTTACTCCCAGGTAAGCATATCTCAATTCTCATTCTCACGATTGATCACTGACAAACGAGAAAACTCAAAGTCGTTGGTGGTTTGCCTCGGCGGCATTTCCTATGATAGCTGGTACCCTAGGCCCAGTCGCCTCGGCCTTCAGCATATGTGCACTCGTCAAGAGCTGGAGACAACACATCCAGCCGGGGTCCGATGTCACTAAGGCTGTCTTCGTACCAGATCCGTCTTGGTTAGTCGCTGTAAACGCCGTCCAGCTTATCATCGCTATCGTTGCCAACATGTTTCTACTGCTCAATATGACTAGAAGAGTGCGATTCTCCGTAGCCCAACCCATAACTATAGTCGGATGGTACGTCTCGGCCGTCTGTCTTGTAGCTTTATGTTCTACCGCGGACGGTCCCCTCGCCGAGCAACCCAAGATTGAGTACACTTGGTCTCAAGCTTTCTACTATGCCATGTTCGCTGCTGTACTCTACTTCATTGTGGCGTCGTTGATGGTCGTCACCGTCTGGGGTGCAGAAATGGGCCACTACAGGAAGGATTTCGAGCTGACTATAAGCCAGCGGACCTTGATGCTTCAGACAATTTTCTTTCTCGTGTATCTTCTCCTTGGCGCTCTAGTCTTTTCCAACATTGAGGGTTGGGACTACCTAGACTCTGTCTACTGGGCTGACGTAACCCTCTTCACCGTGGGTTTCGGCGAAATATCTCCAGAGACTAGTCTAGGCCGTGGTCTTCTAATACCTTACGCACTTGTCGGCATTATTAGTTTTGGTTTAGTCATTGGATCAATCCGAAGCCTTATTTTAGACAGGGGGAAACGAAAGCTAGACGCGAGGATGCTTGAGAAAAAACGACGGCAACTGATCCAACGCATGAGGCAGAAAGGGAAGGGGGGCATGCTAGAGCCCATTCAGGACGAGGCTTTCGATTACCCCCCCGAGTCCACAGGACCCCAACCATCCCACGCGGAATTCGACCGCCGCCGGAAGGAGTTTGTTCTAATGCGGAAAATCCAGGATCATGCCTCCAGGAGAAGAAGGTGGACTGCGATGGCTATATCCTCCTCTACCTGGTCAGTATTGTGGCTCGTTGGTGCCAAGATATTCCAGGAATGCGAAGCACCATATCAAGGATGGTCATATTTTGATGGCATTTATTTCTGCTTTACTGCTCTGACGACTGTCGGATACGGCGATATCACTCCAGTATCTAACCCAGCTAAGGCTTTTTTCGTTTTCTGGTCCCTTCTCGCTCTACCCACGACGACAGTTCTCATTTCGAATGCCGGAGACACGGTAGTCAAGACGATCAAAGACGGTACACTGCGGCTCGGGAACCTAACAATTCTGCCCGGAGAACATGGGTTTAAGAACGAAACCAAGCAAATTTTGTCCAAGCTGAGTTTCGGGGTATTGTTTGCAGAGGATGACATTGAGGAATCCCCACCAGGCTTCCTCGGTACAACCCAGCCGCACAAGGACGAAGAGGATGAGTTAGAAGGCACTGAATCAGGCGAAGCCAATAACTCCGTGATTAGTGATAGCCGCGATGCCAATGAGAGGCAGAATTCCCAGACACTATCTTCATCAAATCCGAATGAGTCTGTCAAACCGGGAAGGGGTTCGTCGAAATTGGAGGATTCATCGAATCAAAAACCAGTTAAAGATACCAATCCTACGTCACCACCAAATCGCGAGGATTCTACGACTAGAGCCAGCGCCCCAACCGAGTTACCAAAGACCCGTTCCGAATACCATTTAATCTTGATTGACGAAATCAGACGCGTAACTAAGCACCTGCAGAGCTCTCCGCCGCGGAAGTACACCTTCAAGGAATGGTTGGTAATTGAATACTAATTATTTTCCCCCCCTTTCACTTCTGCCAAGGCGTCTACTGAATCATAATCGCATTTAAACCTTGTCTTTTATATTATGTGTACCTACTACATAGGTATATTATGTCAATTATTACGGCTAGTTCGAGTCTAACGTCCTGTACTTTCGTATAGGGCATGGTATCTCCGCCTCATAGGAGAGGACGAGAGTAACCCCGAGACTCACCGCAAGCCCACCAAGCGGCCGCAGGGACGGGACGCGTGCGCGCACGGTCTAGCCAACCAGACCAGTCAAGACAAGGGAGACGAGCTGCCGCCCATCCCCGAACATGGCCTAACCGGCGACAACGCCTTGAAACACGACCACGGCGACGCCAACGACGCAACAGAAGAGAAAATCAAGTGGTCCTGGGTCGGGCACCGCAGCCCCTTGATGGACACGCGCGAGGAGGCCGAGTGGATCCTCGACAAGCTCGAGCAGACGCTGCGCGACGAACTGCGGGCCGTCGTCATGGAGTCACGGGGCGGCGCGGGGCTCCGCGAGGTCTCGGCCGAGGAGAGGCAGAACGAGCAGAAGGAGGGCTTGGGGCCGACGCCTATGCAGTGATGTCCTTTGTAC